CATAATCAATAAATCAACATAAATCATGCATTTATTAATACTAAAATAATTTACTTGTGGCCAATTTCACGGTAGAGGAATCACAATTTTCCAGAAATTCAATCTGTGTATTGTTAAACCCCACAAACAGTGGGTTAGTATGAACATAAAATTATTATTATTTTTTTTTAAGAAAAAGAGAGTTCTACAATCATAATTATATGGTTTAGATGGGGTTTGCAGTGTGTTTAGGGGTTTGTGTTGTATTTGCAAGTATTTTTTCATAACAATCTAAATTTTAAGCAAAAAAAATAGTTATGAATGTATTTAATTTTCTTATTGATATACCAAGTCAGTCAATCACATTGAATTGTTTGATTTTCTACAATTTTCTGTTTTGGGAGGTTTGTGGGATTTACCACTTAATCCTACTATAATCACCCTACCCTCACAATCACACGCCATTTTAATTCTTAGCATAATTGCCATACATAACTATATATAATTCTAAGCCAGTAGTAGGCACTTGGATTTAGTTAGAAATGAGTAAAAACCTGCGTCTGCGTTACGTCATTCTTGTGTTGATTTAAAATTGCAACCTATTATTATAGCCTTTTGGGCTATAATAATAGGTTGCAATTTTAAATCAACACAAGAATGACGTAACGCAGAAATGAAATGGATAATCCGGTTAAAAACTCACATTAAGTGTCTAAATAAGGACTTAGGCTCTACATGTGATTATGCCTTCATACGCAATATTTCTCTATGAATACAGTATCTAACTATATATGCTATATATTATTTCTACTTATGTACATTTTTTTATATTCATAGATGGCGGAAAAAATTCACTGGCCATATAACATAATAATAACAATAATAATAATAATAATAATAGTAATAATAATAATAATAATATATTTTCCCAAACATTATAAATAACCAGTGAATGAATTTGATAAAAGTCAAATGATTCAAAGAAATGAGACAGAAACCACATTTTCTGTATGTTAATGTTATTCATAAGACACACAAGAATGTTATTACAGTAGGATTGAGAATTAGGAGTATTTACACAATGAGCATCATTCTTTAGGTTACTGTCTACAGATAGGAAAAACAGACTTATCATCTAACCTCTGCTTGTGATGGTGTTTCTATGGAAATTTGTTCAATTCCAAAATGATTCCACAAGAAAGAGGGCTGTTGGAGAACCAACCTTATAGCTGTGATGCTTTGTGGCACAAACAACATCTACAAATAAATAGACAATCAGGCAAATATTTAATAATAATAATATGTCGCTCTTATATAGCGCTTCATGCACAATGTCTAAGCGCTTCACATTACTACCCTGGTCATTGGATCGAACACATATGGAACACATACTGTACTCAGCTCCCGGGGGGAATTCCATAATATTGCAGCTAGTAATCAGCGCAGATGTGTTTGAGCCTACCAGGTACCTACTTGTACTCCTTGGTGTAAAGAGGCAACCGTAGATAAAGTGTCTTGCCCAAGGACACAAGCCACAACCGATGCGCCAACCGCTTCTATATAATCTTAATAAGATAATAATAATAATATTTATAATATTAATATTTATAAGAATAATCAAAACTATATTAATAATAATACAAATAACAATAATAATATAAAAATATTAATTAATAAAATAATATAATGCAGTTTTAACAAGAGCACACAGCAGAGAGCATATTTCCGCCCACCGCTAATCTCTTCTATTAAAAATTATTCAAAAATATCTACTTTCCAACCACCAACCAAAATCTACTTTTAAAATTACACCAACACGAAAGTTTCATTTATATGAGTTGTTTAGTTTTTGAGATTATCTGATCTGCAACGTTTTGCTTTGAATGGTCCATAATCGACACCAAAATGTAATCACTTCACTTTTCGAACGCCTTTTATTGTATCAGTTGCTCACCTGCCAATTCCTGACATGTGAGGGATTTGAAATCAGTCCCGTTTTAGGTAATTTATTTCACGTAGTACAATTTATTGCTGCAAAGCAGCCAATTCATATTCTTGACAGCAATTTGACTTCTGAAAGGTGATTGTTTGTCAAAAAACGAGCGCCTAAGACAACTGAGAAGCTGAGTTTCCTTCTTTCGTTCTGCCGGGTAAAATCAATTACTTTAGGCGACGTTTGAAGACTAACCTACTCGTACCAATGTTCACATGTCGCGACGCTGGAGTATTACTATTCAGCGTTTTTACTATATTTCTAGGTTTCCATTTCTACGTTTAATCGGCCCATGTCTCAGCCACAATAATCTGAGGCCAATATTATTTACGAACCCAGTTAAACTTATTTACTAGCCTATTTCAACGTGCTAATTATTACATTTAGGCGACGCTTGTTGTAGACTGGCATACACAGTGTTTTCGGAAATAAATACCATTTTAAACACATGCGCAGATCGATTCACCAGCAGCAGCGAGTCGCCAGCAGCAGCGAGTCGCCAGCAGCGAGATGTCACTGCAGCAAAACACTATTGTACACGGTACCAACGCTGTTCTAATATAGACAATGGGTCGTGTCTCATATTATTTGTTATATTTTTATTATTCGTTATTTTCACTTGACTCGCATAAATAATTTTGTTCGAAGAACATTTATATGCAGTTGTATTTCGCAGCACTTCACTTGCAATTTGCAATTTCTAGTTTTGTAGAATACAGAGTGTACTCCACTCTAGTAGCATACACTGAATCTATGCAGTAAATGAAATGCATGACTTTTAACTACGTTTTACAAATGCAATCAAGAAATGTGGTGGTACAACCACCATTATTTGCTTGACTTCCACTATGAATGTGGGACAATTGACAGGTCTACTATTGCTTTGACAAAACTTTGTTGACATAGCATAGTAACAGAATGAAAAGATTTTATCAAGACACACCCATGCTGTACTTTGTGCTACACATTCCAAAGATGACATAATTTTGACTATTTGACATTTATTAACAATTAGTTTGAGCTTATTTCCTAGGAACCAATTGGAAATACACCCTATATACAAAAGAGATAAAAATTTCCGTAGTTTGATAAATGTCATTGTGATAAAGAATGTAGGTGGTGTGATCGGAATGCTTTTGCAAGCCAATTTAATGCTGTATAAAATTTAAAATAGCAAACGACCCAATCAGTAATACGAAACCTTGTAATGACACCACACCTTATTATTTTTGACACACATGAATTATATTATTAGTATACTGGTATCTCTAATTTTTAGATAGTCACAACATGGCAATGTCACTCAAACCATAATATTCAACAAATACTAATACAAATACAGAGAGGAGCATGGGTGGGCAGGTTGCGTACACCCTGGCCACCGAAATCAGAAACAAACTATATTTTTAAGACAGTCAAGAATGTATCAAATATAAAATTTATTTGCTTAAATCTATACAAAATTAAAACATCCTCTATTAGGTATAATGATTTTTATGATTTTTATAGAGTGCATTCTGTAGTCAAAATTTAACTGCACTTTGGATATACTACTAATACAAAAATATATCATGATGCTCTACATAAACTCTAATTGATTTTGTATTGTTTTGTATTCAAAAATACAGTACAGTATCTAATATCCTGCAATTGCATTGACTAGCAAGAGTAAAGCCCCTTAAACCCTCCACACACCCCTAGCCACTAGCAATGGCTCTCACTGTGCTTGGACCCCAGGTACCCTGGTGATACCATCAATCAATCAATCAATCAATCAATCAAAAAAAAAAAAAAATTTTTTAAATTTAAAAAAAAACTTAAAATACAATATATAACTTTAAATATAACTTTAACTGTATAGGATTAATTGTGCGGGCTGTAACTCTGTTTATATTTGTGAAACCAATTCCTAGCAACAAGAGTGATGGAGCATCTGACTCAGGACAAATCATCACCATATTTACCAACACATAAACAGATCTAAACACTGCCGTGGTTTATCAGATGATAATTGCTTCAAAGTTTTAGATTCTGCCAGTAGTCAGTATCAACTCAAGATCAAGGAGGTCCTCTACATCATTTGGGGAAAACCTAATTTAAATAAACAGATTTCACATTTCAACATTACCTTAACTATTTAGGAGCTTCATTCATTCTGCCTTCCCATTGGTCCCTTTATCCCTTTGCTCTATATAAGCTTTTCTATTTTATTTTCTCCATGCTTTAAGTGTTTCTAGCAGGTTTTGATTACACTTGATAATGATGGTCGATGCCGTCAAAACATGTCGTGGTACAAAATGTTTATCCATATTAAATACATTGCTGCATTTTTATTATACAAGATTAACAGTATAAACAAATACAGTTTACAACCATGGAAAACTAACCTGTGAAGAAGATATGGTGAAATGATCTTGACTACCACTTTCACAGTGAGCTGATTTCATTAACTGGTAACGATGCAAACATGTTCTCCATTTACCTGGTTGGGGGAATGTATTGAGTACAATATAAATCCTCATTGTTCTTTTGTAAGTTAATATTAAAATACACTTAATTCATTTGGCTTCTAACTCACATGATTTGAACCCAGGACCATAGAATTGAAGGGAGAGCATTTTAACCACCAATGTACATAGCTCTAACCCTTCAACATTGCAGGATTTGAACCCAGGACCATAGGACTGATGGCAGAGCATCTTAACCACCAATGTACATAGGTATAATCCTCCAACATTGCAGGATTTGAACCCAAGACCACAGGATTGAAGGGAGAGCATCTTAACCACCAATGTACATAACTCTACTCCATCAACATTGCAGGATTTGAACCCAGGACCATGGGACTGAATGGCAAGCATCTTAACCGCCAAGGCACATAGCTCCACTTTATTAACATTGCAAGATTTGAACACAGGACCAATTGAAGGAAAAGCATCTTACCCACCAAGGTAGCTCCACTCCATCAACACTGTAGGATTTGAACCCAGGACCATGGGATTGAAGGGAGAGCAGCATCTTAACCACCAAGGCAGCTCCACTCCATCAACGTTGCAGGATTTGAATCCAGGATCATGGGTTTGAAGGGAGAGCATCTTACCCACCAAGGCACATAGCTCTACTCCATCAACACTAAAGGATTTGAACTTAGGACCATGGGATTGAAGGGAGAGCATCCTAACCACCAAGGCACATAGCTCTACTCTATCAACGTTGTAGGATTTGATTTACTCTTTGGAAAAAATGTTTTCTAGTTTGTATTTTTTGTTTTTAACTTTCAGTAATACTTAATTCACACTATAGAGCATAGATTCTGTTGTTTTTTTCACTCATAAATTTCAATGCTTGTTGAGCATACAATTACTGTATTTGATAATTGGTATTGGTAATTTTTTTACCTTAATTGTCATGGAAAAATGTTTGATTTATTTACAATTATAATAAGTAGTTAAAAGAATAGAAAAACAGGTACAGTTCTTGTGAAAGTTTTGAAGGAAAAAGGTTAATGATTAATAAAAATGGTTGGAGAGGGTGGGAAATGTGATAGGTAGGATTTTAATGCAAGTGCGTCAATCACTAATGAATAACAAACTAATTCTCTGTAGTAGCTATTCAACTTACTAATATTTACTATTTTCTGCTTTGATTGTGTCACAAAAATTTGTGTCTGGCGTTCTTGAATGAGATAGTTCAAAGCTATAACAAGACAATAACACTGTCGATTCAACTTACCATTTAGTTCACTACTTTTTATTTTGATTGTCACAAAGGCTGTGTAGACATTCTTGAACGAGATAGTTCCAAGCTATAAATAGACAATAAAATTATCAACAGAGAGTTGATAAAAATAATACATAACACACTGACTATAGAAAAAAATGAGGAAATTCCCCTGAGCACAAAAAAGAAAGTTCGCAAAGGGTTAATAGCTCGAAGGAACTATGTAATATTGAAAAGATATTCTGTTAGGTCTTCAAATAATTTCATACTGTTACTAAGTTATCACTCATTTAGGCCTTCTAAATATTTACACAGTTTCCAAGGGGAATAAAAAACGATACTATTAATCTTATACAGAGAAAATCCAAGTGAGTCATTTTTTTTTAAATTGGAAAAAGGTTAAGATACCATGAATGTGTGCTCACTGGCAGTGTCAGGGGAGTGGTTGGAGGAAATACAACCAAAAATAATATCAGATTCCAAGACAAATTTGCAGCCGCGAGACATTTGAAAATTCCGCCCCTAGGGGTTAGAGGCTCGATCCCCTCCCACTCCCCCGGGAAATTCTAATTCCTACATAATCAAAAGTTTTTCAGGTCGTCCACACAAACCTTTTTACACTCGCACGAGCTGGCAGTGTGTGGACCTACGTAATCTTATCCGACAGCACTTTATAAAACGACATACACATATTCACAGTGTTAGTGCAGGTAGTTGGTATACAAGTGTAGAGGAAAATTTTTACTAACTAAGGTCACAAATAGTATTTTATATTATCATAGGCATATATTTACTGTATGAGTGAGATTTTGATCCTTAAGCGTGAGACACACCCTAAATGTGATGCGAGTCTCACGCCAAATGTGTATGAATCATAAATGAGCATGGTATACAGTGCTGGGTTGACAAGTCGGTCACATTTAAAGGCAACAAAATACAAGTTAATGGTACACCTGCCAACTGTCACTGTCATAATGCTTGAGTCTCACGCATGAGCATTCACTTTTTACGCCTCACCTCACGTTGCATTAACTCATGCATCTAAAAGTTTTTTGAAAGATGAATAGGTCGATTATACCCTAAAAACATGTGAATACAGTCCATATAAATTTATGTTAACAAAGCTTTACTGACCGATGACTGTAATCAGTAGCAGTTCGATCACTGTACAACTTTAACAAATTTACATGGGGGCACACTATTTCATATTTATATAGAGGGGGCTATATACAATTTTTTTTGTCTCGAGAATTAGATGCCCGCAAAGTTGGCAGGTATAGCATGAGCACCCACTTTTTCTCGCGCAAAATGAATTAATGTATATTATACCTTTATTTATTATTATCTATATTATAATTATAAAAACTATTAAAGTGAATTTGTTATGAAGATGTAAATAAAAGCCATATATAAATTTCTTTTAACGATGCTATACCGACAGCGAACTGTAATCCACAGCAGTTTCAGTACAAATTTTTAAAAAATAATGGAGGAGGTGCTTTATTTTGATTATTACATAGAGGGCGCTATATTCAATTTTAATTTTGTTTTTGTCTTGAGCATGAAACACTTTTTTGGTCTGTATAGAAATTGGCTACCTTCATATTGTTGTGCATAATTTTGGGCGTCTGAAGCAAATATTCTCACACTCTACTCTATTTGTATTAAAACGACTGTGTAAAAAAATATATGCAAACACGTGCGTTTGTGAGACACGCGCGTACACCTGACCCTGTTCTGATTGGTCAGTTTAGTTTGATGGACACTCTCCGCGCGGCCTGGAAAGTCCACCACTACTACACATTACCAAAGCATTGTAATAATAACATTTATTGATAATCATCAAACCAATCATTTGAACTTAATTTTTTTTATTCTTCTCTGTTGTTGTTAAGCGCCTCGAGGTTGTGTCAACGTGAGGCGCTATATAAATCCAGAATTATTATTATTATTAATATTACACTAGGCCAAATAGTATAAATAGAACAAGAGAGCCAACAACGCTCATTGAGAGCGTAAAAAAACGATACGCTCTACACAGCTAGTGTAGGACGCCAACTAACGCTTGTATGTGTTTTATTACCCAGTACTCCACCACGCACGGTAGGTTTGTCTGTTTATCTGTTCTTTTATACTGTACTTTTGTTTTCTGCTTACTGAGTTTATAGCGGGCGTACTTCTACCGCGCTGCGCAGCGCTGCACCGGGTAATAAAAAGAATATACAACCGTTAGTGGGCGTCCTACAAAGGCATGACGTTTTTACGAACGGGACTTTGCTCTCTTGTTCTATATATACTCTTTATCAAAGAGTTTGACTAGGCCTAGGCCTACACGAAATATAAAATACTAGCAATATTTGTGTCCTCGTTTTACTACATTACTTTTAAGGCATCAGCATTTCCCCCTACTACTACCATTATATAATACTATTAGCATTGCAAATACCATGAAATCAGAGCATAAATAAACATAAACATAGGCTAGGCTAGTCGATCAAAGCATGGATAAAACAAGCAGGCTAATTTTGGCCTACCTGGCAGATGCCCTTTTCTGAATGATTTGGAAACGTTACATCTACTATCGACAATCCACTGCATAAACTTGACTTTGTATCAGATATTTTCACTTCTACGGGCTTTTTGATTATGCATTTTATAGAACTACTTGCAGCCATCTTCTACTACCACCAAAAAAGACTAAAATAAATAAGGTAAATAAATATAAATTACTAGGCCTAGGCCACCTTGCCATGCCAGTCCCCAAGACTTTCACGACAACGGTGATCATGAACAGCGCCGCCTATTTACACATAATGGTTACTTAGCAACCAGTTATTTATCGAAACGCGAACGCAAAACAGAGCCTCAAGAAGAAAATACATCATCATCTCGCACGACGTCAGGGCAGTCCGGGAGGGAGAACGCGAAAAAGAGTTGTGAATTTCCTGTAAATTACCACCATTACATCAATAATGGCAGCAGCAGAAAACAAAATGACACTTCCAAATCAGGTAGGCCTAGGGGATTTTCTTTATTTTGTGACAGTGTGAATGATGAATCAGAAACTAGGCTTGCCTTACTTATTATTATTAATATTAGGCCTAGGCCCTAGGGGCTAGGCTTTTTATGGGCCTAGTTAGTAAAAAGGCTTAGGCCTAGGCAGGCAAAACCTTGTCTACCTAGGCCTAGACCCATCTCCTCTCTAGGCTTGAACACCTACCTAGGCCTACAAAGTGCTGACACCGCCTGGTGGGATGAGTTTTGAGGCCGAGTTGACTAGGCCTATCTTGAAGAATTCATGTTATTGACGTCAGGAATGTTCTAGGCCTAGGCCTAGTAAGCATAGTAGTAGTATTAATCAGTCTTAACTATTTTCTTTTTTGATAGGACGCCCTTCTTCAGTCTCAGCAAACTCCACCTGCTGTGCCAAATTCTGCCTCAGCCTCAAAACAACCTGCAACTTCAGATTTCTACCGGACACTCAACATTCCAGATAGGTTTGAACATCCAGGTAAGAAAATGTTTTAATTACAAGAAAGAATGTGTTTTGGGAATAAATAATTTTTTTTAATAAAAAGAAATATATAGGCCTACTGTATTTATAATGAAAGTTTTTTAATTGTGCGGAGGATATAAAAAAAAAACTAAAATTTGCACGGAAAATCGCTAGGAAAATAGGTTCGCAGAATGGTAGTGCATCATTGTATTGGTTATATATTAAAATTTTTTTAAAGCCTAATTTTCAGCAAAATCGGCCCATATTTTCCGAAACGCACAGACAGATTTCTAGGCCAAATTTTTGCGCGGAGGATATATTCCCCGTGCAAACTTTACTATACAGTCAAGAATTAGTGTTTACTGTACTGTATTGTTTTTGCTTTAACAATCAATGGGCCGCCATAAGTCCTTATTTTTTAAGACTTGGTTTCATCAACCAAAACCTGGTGGAGGAGTGGCTCAAACCAGCGCCAATGTTAAGGCTGTGGTAAGCAGTCCCCCTGCCATACCACTCGGCCCCTGCCTCTGTCTGTCTGATGAATTAATGTACAATTTTTATTGCCTCTGCTTCCTTTACAGAATGCTTTGAGGGCTACAACTCTAAACCTCAGCACCCTATGTACATAACATCAAACAATGTATATGGTAAAAAAGCACCAACGGTTCACACAATGCCCAACAGTTTTCATGCAAAGTCTCAAAAGTTTTCACAGGTAATATAAATTCAATTTTGTTTACTTATTTATAATTGTAAATTTATTTTTTAAAGAGATTGTTAAAGGAGAAGTTTACCCATTTTATATAATTTAAGGACTGAATTAGCATCTTGTGCGTGTTTGCTACGTAGACGCTCTATACCCCTGCTTCTCGAACTGTGGATCGCGACTTTCATGTTTTCTTCATCTAGTAGGTCTACAATTTCTACTTTTTCTTTGCCTACCTACATTCAGTACTGTATTATATTTTTACAAATACAAGGTTAGTAATGCAAAGAACTTTCTAGAACCATCCTGATCTTATGCGTTACAGTGACCTTTCACAAATGGGATATTATGTACCCGATACCATACTCGCGCCAATAATATTTTTTGCACTTTCTGAGCTGCGCTTATTTAAACGGGGAGCTTATGAAAACAGGGTGGAAATTGAGGGGGCGCTAATGGAAATAGATGAAAATCGAGGGGTTCTTATGGGAACTTATTAAATTCAAGAGGCACTTTTTGATTAAGAAAAGATTATACAAGGACTATGAATGGTGGTGCGGCAGAAAAGATAATCGTCCAGAGAACATGGCTTATGACAAGAATGCTGTGAATATTTACATAACAGCAGAATAGCAGATGCAATTAGTGGTGGGTAGTGGTTAGCTTGTTGGCCATCGGCCGATTGAGGTTAGCAGGATCATTGCAGGTTTTCTTGAAAACTCAGATGTGAATGTGCTAAAAGTGCAAATTGTTGGAGCTCTCATCTGTCCAAGAGAAATATCCTCATTTTGATATTGACCTAAGAAGGTGATTCCACTCTGCAGCTTAAAACATGCCAACAACCACAGTCCCAGGATTGATTGGATTACTGACTTGGTAAAACGAAAATCTTATGATATTATTGAGGGGAACTTTTTAAAATTAGAAGGGGGCGCTTATTCAAAAGGGGTGCTTATTCAAACCGGGCGCTTATTAGCGCGAGTACGGTATGCTAAATCAGTTCTCAAATTATGAAAAATCTGTAAACTTCTCCTTTAAGCTTCATTATAATTGTTTAATATGTTGTGTTATTTTTCTGTTAGCATTTAGGTAACTGCGGAATGTATAGGAATCATGGGTTGAATACATCAACTGACAAATCCAAAGTATGATATGACGGCCTCTATTGGTGAATCGTCTTCAATTTTTTAGTGGCAACAAGTTCAAGAAAGTGGTAATTGAGTAAACCTAATTGCCCTTATTTGAACTTATTTAAAATAAAACATCTTTCTTTGAGGTTGAGTGTCAAAATAAAGGTTTCTAAGAAAAAAAAAAAACTTGAACTATGAAGAGATTTTCATTGAAATAGTAATTAATAGATACAGACAAAAACAATTGTGTAATAAGATATTGGAAAACCTAGGAAAAGTCTTGAAGAACAGCAAATTTAAAATCTTTCCCTATCTTTGCAAATGATAGATTTAGTATTGAATTATTGTATTAGCATTATCTCATAGGTAATTTGTATACAGTATATCTAAATATATGTAGAAAAAATACTATTATTATTGTATTTAGTTGGATAGCAAGTTTATAATTTGTTACCGTATGCAACAATATGTATTTTAAAGTCTTCTAAATATTGTGTACATATAAACACTTAATATTTATTATAAGCAAAGGGTTTTTTTTTTATCTCATCCCCAAGAAGCAGACAAATGTTGAATTCTACTAATACAAATTTACCATTTAGATGAAGTAGTTTATTAATCCAGTTTTCCCCTTTTTTAAGTAAATTCAGTTGATGTGGCTTTGAGAAGTTGGCTTGTAAGCCTGCATGCAAGTTGTATATAAAATGTGTTATGATATTCTACAAGTAAATAATGTAAAACCAGTGAAGGCTGAAAACACTGTAAACTTCAACACAAGAGAGCTTTCGTTTGTGTGACAAATGCAAGATCTAAAGCCAGACACACACTGCGCCCGACGATTGTCGGTATTATATAGAGAACGCAATTTTAATGACGATCCCTTCAGACCGTCATCGACAATCAGCAAATGGCATTGTCGTCAAATGCTCACGTTGCACAACGTAGTGAGTGCTTGGCTTAAGACGTAATGACATCGCAGAATCTAACATGACCTGTGTAGAACCTACCTACTGCAGGAAAGTCACGAACAAGTGAAGCGGTCATAGGGACCCTATTGTCATATTGAATTTATCTTATTTCATAATAGCGTACAGTATTCAAGTATAATGTACAATATTGTATTGACTGCGGTATAAGCCCACTTTCTGATTAAGCCCACACTGATGCCGAGTGTGGTATTTTATTAGTTTGTCTTCACAAACCACCCTCAAAATAGGAATACGTAAAGAAGCTTTTTTTCTGGGGATGCAAGAATATCAAGACATCCACACCTTGCATGTAACTGTGCTTGAGGTAATTGTAAATCCTGACCATTGTATGTCTGTGCTCTGCCTGCTTGCCCAACACGCCAGTTAAAGGAGATTGATGAAAAGAATCCATCCTCATGTGGTATTCTCGTGGAATATGGATTCACCGAGCAGCATTGTGTTTTGCCTCACCTCCTATTTCCTTGATTTTAAATTCATAGAGGAAGGATGGGCTTATACCAGAGACTATAAGTTCAACTGGAATAAAACATTACTTAATGCTTTACATTTGAATATTTTTTTAAATGGCAATAAAAAAAATGAGTCGAAAAGTTGAAACTTCTTTTACCTTTTATTGCACCAATGGAGCACTGACAATCTTCAAAACTCATGCTGGATGTACAGCCGATAAATGTGGGCTGTGCAATATTAATCATTAATGATATCTATACCATCAGGGCAACATCCAGCCATAAGTGACTGAACTGCCATTATTTATATCGATAACCATGGAAATTCTAAATACAGTAGTTATATTTTTCTGAAATATTGACAAGAAAAATAAATACATCATAACATTGATACAAGCAACACACTTGATGTCTCGCAGATTTTGGCATTTCCTTGCAAGAATAAAAAGAAACATCCAAAATCTGCTTCTCTTTAAACACCAACAAATACAATATTTACAATCTAATCATTGATCAATAAAAAATGACTGAAATAACAATAAAAATGTACATCAATAAATCTGCAAGATATTTTACTGTAATAATAAAACAAATCTTTTTCATTAAACAAATGGCTATATTTATACATTTTAATGAAAGAAAAAAATGAATGCTTTGATCATTACAATGTGTGGTTCTATCATACTATACATGCTTGGATGGAGTAAGATGAAGGAATGTTGATTTACATATTCCCCTACCAACATCTACTGAATTTGAGCATGTGGGGTGCATTATGAATAGAAATAATTTAGCCAAGTTTACTTTTTTGGTTCCAAGTTCTAAAAATCTAAAATAATACTGGAATGCTTTTAAGTGGCAAGGATGAATAAAAAAATAATGCTAAACTGAATCATGTAGGAATTTACTTTTAACAACCAAAATATGATGCCTACACAAGTTTTTTATTATAAAATAAAGGCTTATCCAGAATATCAGAGTACATAACATTCTAGAGACAGTGTATACACTCTTATGAAGAGAAAAATATGATGAAACATAAACTCTTTTGGTATAACACATGCTAAACACTCTCCAAAAACATTCTGGTTGATAAAATCGTTTACAGAGGTAAACCCGTGGTTAAGTTACAGTGAAATTTTAGATGAGTCCCAAAGAGGGGCTTTCACAGATGCAGGGTCTATCTCGGCTAGAAAATTTATGATTGTGGCACCTCTAGATGGCTGGAAATCTGACTTCAATTAAAATTTTTCTTTTCTAACCCATTTTTTTTTTTTTATATATTTATAAATACAGTCAAATATCTAATTTATAAAAAATAATTTGTACTAAAAAAACAATACAGAAATGATTCTTGTTGTATTTATTTCTTTTTCTATTTTCTTACACATTTTTACCGGTAATTTCTATAATGATATTGAAAATCAGTGGCACACATTTTGTATAGAAAAATGAACTTTATAATGAAAGAATAAGTAAAATATTATATTATTATTTTAAAGTGTATATTAATTTAAATATTTTTACTTTATAAAAATGGTTATTTCTGTTAACATTATTGAACATATAGTGATTTAATATCTCTATAGAATTCAACAATGTTTTCAATATACTTCTCAGTAAATGCAATCTATGAACAGAAAAGGAAAAATATTGTATTAACACTACATAGCTATTGGATTCTCTCTTTTAAGAAATGACGAAGCATCCTACATAAAACTGATTTTATACCTGTACAGAATTCAACAATGTTGTCATCATATTTCTTGTTAAATACAATCCAAAAATATAAAATAAAATGTTAAAATAACAACAGATAGCTATTAAATTCTCATTTAAGAAATGACATGCATCATAGGTAGTTGCCAGTCTCCTAATGTTGATGATGCATTAACATAATGTAAATGTCAATTTCTTTATGCATGTAGTTTCATCAATTTATTCAGTGTATACAGCAAGTACATTATATGGTCATTTTGGATTCGATTGGATTTATGAAGTGTGTACAGCAAGGATAACCACGAAAGTCTGAAAAAGACTTTCCAGTGAGGTCGTTCTGGTAGTGATTGGGCAGTAGGCCTACACTGGGAGACAATCCCCTACTCTTTTCCAAAAAGTGTACTGCGTGGGTCATAATGCACGCAGGACCAACGGCTTTAACGTCTCATCCAAAAAATGGTACACTACCGTAACTCGCATTTCAGCCCTCCAGCTGAAACACAAGATGAGCGATGTGAACTGAACAGGGGACCAAGAGCCAACGGACACGCGACGTTCGGTGCCAGTAATGTTAACACGGTCAGTGTTGTGATACCGTCCTACTGTTTATCCATGACGGGTACAAGTTATCTTGTAGAAGAATGTTGTAATGCTTTAAGAAAAAACAAGGAGAAAAAAAAATTGTTTTGATGGGTTAGAATGTGGAATATTGTTGCTTGCTTGTCATAGGAGAAACACTGCGCTGACTAATAGGATTGGGACCTCTGTATTTGGTGAAACCTTAATATAATTATAGAAACAAATGTATATTAAACTGTAGTGTTTCTCCCTGCACTCCTTAAGCCTCAGAATGATATTCATTTATAAGGTATTGCAACATTGTACACTGGATTTAATGAAGTACTGTTTATGATAAAAAATGGAATAAACAAAGCAAATATATGGAATAAGCTACACGTTTAGTCTAATGCCCTGGCCCAGACTCTCACATTTTATTTGACCAAAACATGTGACATGCCAAAATATGGTCAGTAACCATAATAATGCAGTTGAACTTGCCTAAGTTGAATCCAAAATGCCATTGAAATATTGTTTGACTTAAATAAAATTTGACTGACAGATTGTTATTAATGGAAAACGTAACAATTTGGCATATAAAATTAGTTTGACTTAGAAATTATTCGAACTTAGGCAAGTTTAGCTGTAATATTGTTTTAAGGTTTGCATGGCGAAGTAATACTATATTTAATGCTTGTGATACATCACGCAGATAGTCCTGAAAAGAACAGTTGTTTGTTTAGAATGTCTCGACGTTTCTATTGAGTTACTTCAATCATCTTCATAACGATAATAATATAATGACGATGGCGATGAGAGAGATGATACTGATTAATGGTAGATTTAAGTGCAAAAAATCAATTTCCTTTGAATGATTGCAATTTTTTAAATGTATATATCTTGATGCAATTCTTACAATTTTTTTTTTTACTTTGTAATAATTGCTTATTATAAGGAAATAATTTCCTTTTGATAAAACATAGATTTTTATATCTCTAGTGCAATTCAATTTTTTTTTTTTACTTATTTGATGTAATTTAATTAATGTGTTTTTGTATGTTGTAATCCAAATGGATCATGAATTTCTAACATGTTATGATGGACAATAATATCTTCTCTTATCTTGATGACATCAAATCATGACCATAATATAGGCACATCATGACTATATATGGGCATACAACAGTTTTTTTGTCAAATAAAATTTTACTGTCTAGATAGAGCTTTAGGGTTGTGACCATTCAATTCACACACTAGTTTTTAGATCTAATAGTCTGGCGATTTAAAACTCAGTACCTAGATAAAGTACACTGAAAAATAACTAATACCTCAGCTATGAACAAAAATGTGGCAAAGACAAGCCAAACCAGTCACTCATCGCAATTCGTGTTTCAGAGATAATGGCCACAACATGCTGGAATGTCAACATTTTTGAAATCTATTTTATTGCACTATTAAAACTAACCTTATTTTCCTCAATTTTTAACAATTTGGTGATGTTTTCTGCCTGAGAAAAGCCCGTAATCATAAACTTTGAAGGTCTATGTTTGAATGCTTGTAACTTCATAAGGAAATGCCAAATTTAAATGATTCTTTTACCATTTTATAGCTCTCATTTTACTGTTTAATTTTTTTGCGACCAGTGACTGGTTTGGCTTGTCTATGCCACAAATAAATTATACTACCTAGGCTATGACAAAATTGAATGATACTACCTCGGCTATGGATACAAAATGATCCTACCTAAGCTTTGACAAAAAAAGCATGATACCACCCTGGCTATAAATACAAATTAATGATACTACAAAGCTATGGATACAAATAAATTATACTACTTAGGCTATGACAAAAGCAAAAGAATTATACAACCAGAGGAATATGTATAAAAAATAAAATGTAATACTACCTATACAAATGAATTACAATATCTGGCTAACAAATAAATTGAATTATGGAACAAATAACATTTAAAAGTCTCAATATGTCATATATCTGCAACTATAATTTATATTTTGTATCCTTGTTGGTTTTTTTACACATTTATTTTGCAAGAACCACACTGAAAGACTAAAATCAAAGAATAAAATATATTTAAATTGGTTTAAACAAATAAGAATATATAAATTTAGGCATTCATTTCCATTTGGTCAAATAATATAATGAAATACTGATATATTATATACATGTAATAATTAGCTCTTTTAATTCTAAATAATTTTAGCACATTCAATAATTAGTTTCTTATCACCAGTACAGTTTCTGTGATAAACAACTTGAAGGGGGAGGGGGAGGGGAGGGAAGAGGGAATGATCCATAGCTTGAATGTTAATATTTCGATTAGACATACACAAACTTCAGATTTCAGTCATGCACGATTTGTGACCTTGTCTTTGAAATCTTAGTATCGGTCTGGAAATGTCTTATTTTTTTAAAAACGAAATTACTTGTCCCTAATTACGGAATGACTGAATCGATTTAATGATAATATGACATAACCATTATTCCAGGCACAAACTGGACATCTTGTACACATGCAAAAGCTTTTTTTGTTTCAACTGTATTTTGGATGCAAGATAAATCACCATGTGTAAATCGCACATGGAAAAAACTAAAATACTGGTTTCATACTGGTAGAGTACAGTACATCAAAAACAGACAGCCTCTATATAATAGTATAGATATGTTGAAACAACATATGATTAGTGTTTTACACTTTCATAAATTCTTCTTTCCATGTTTGATAACAATTACACAGGTACTAATATTTATGGAGACAAAACAAATACTTTTTTGAGACATGACAGACACTGTACATGGTATTTGAAGTGAGGCAGCATGATCAAATTCTGGCTAGCATAACCTCACCATTACTGGTCTTCCTTAGCGACTCTTGCCCGTTTGTGACTCCTCTTTCGTGACCTTCCTCCCAATATCCAAAACTGATTTCCGCTTTCAAATAGTCAATGTATAAATCGCGTGCTTTGCACAGCATACGGTTGAGGTCGTGTTTGCGTACCATGCGGTCAAACAACATGGCCATATCATTGTAGTCCATTTTTAAAGCCATTATGTACTCTCGTTGTTCTAACAACAATGTCAGACATAAGAACATCATGAATGGGTTACCCATTCCAAAATCTTTAGGAGTTGGAAGTCCACGGTACGGCCTACGTACAGGACTCATGGGTGACGATTTATTGGACTTGCTGCCCTCCGTTGGTTGAGAATTCAATGGAAGATTAGTTGGTTTTGAAGTAATTGTAAGCTCAGCTATCTTTTTCTCTAAACTACTTAAAAGGAATGGCACTTTGGAATTGGATGGGTGTTTTGTTGGATGACCTTTTGATGATGTGGAGTTGCTTTTATGAAAAGAAGGTGATGAGGATGACGTTGGTACTTTGGATGAACTGTCATTCGATGAAGTTAATGGTATACCATCAGTTTTGGGTGAGGATAACTTGCGATGATCTTCTTGATTAGATGATGCTTGATTAGAGTCTGATGATGTCACTGAGTTTTCTCCATTTGATGTCACTGACATCTCTCCATTTGATGTCACTGACATCTCTTCACTTGATGTCACTGATATCTCGGGTACATCAGTAGTTGTCACCATATCAACTTCCAAATCATCATTGCTCAATTGGGCAGACAATCTTGATGTTTCTGGAATGTTTCCTTGTGTTTCCCAATTTGTAGTGGCATTGCAATTTATGTATAAATTGGACTTTTTTTCTGATGAGGTTGAGGAGCTGGAATCACCTGGTATTTTTGGAAGGGATCGTCTTGGAGATGATGAAGATGTCTTACCATCATTATCACATGGTTTTCCACTGTCTGAAATCTCCACATCTGACAGAATATTTTCTTGGTTTCTGTTTGTTTCTAAAATCTCTGTTTTTTCCTCTTCTTGGTTAATGTTAACATTGGTAGTTTCATCAGAAGTTTCAAAACCTGATGTCATTTGAAGTTTTTTAGGGTCACAATTGCCTTGGTTGTTGTCATCTTCTTTTTCAAAAACCTCTAAATCTAGAGTTGAGGCAAGGTCCTTCTGTGATATACGAAGCCCATCGTCATTTTCAACAGATGCTGTACGGACACTGCTTAAACTGCCACTCCTTCTCTTTGAGTTTGCACGTTCCCTGGCAAACTTGAATCGCATTTTATCCGTTGCGAATGGAGTTGGTGACATATTTGAGGGCGGACCTGATAATTCTATGCCCGTTTCTGGTGGATCATTTGGCGGAACGGCACTCCACATGACTTCCAGCATACGGAACACATCTTGGAATGCAAATTCACGTTTCAATTCTAAAAGCAACCAACGATAGCAAAAATACAAATCATCTGCATTTTCTTCACGTAAGTAGTTATAAAATTCAGGATCTGATACTTTAATTAGTTCTGTGAGATGCAGGAATTTCACAGACATTGTTTTTCCATCTATTAAGAAATTACCACGCAATCGTTTCATTAAGCCTACAAAGCATAGATAAGCTTGAGCCTCATCCTGCATGACGTACAAGATCGGCGACGCCAGATCGCTCATACCTTGACAGTATGAGATATCAGGATGAGACAATGCATACGTTGTTAGAATATTAAACAACTTTACTCCATTTGGATTCTCATCTGCCCCACTGGAATAAAAACTCTCCAATCGATCTGTACGAAGAACATCTTTACGTACCATGTTCATTACATTCTTAAAATCTTCCCGTGGATTATTAAGCAAGCGATCTTTCAGAGCGTGGTATTCCTTATCCTTGCGTTTTAAATATGCCCACCTTTCTTCACCAGACATACTTGGCGGGAAGATGTTAAGAAGATGCCTCCAGACTGTCTTGCGCAATGATGGCTCAACACCACCTTGGAAAACTCGCAACATAAGTCCTTCCTTATTGACAAGGCGTCCACCTTCATCCAAGTACGTAAGAAATTCCTTGTCATCTAATGGTTTTAGCGGCAGTTCGTACACCTTGCCATCATTATTTTCCCCTTGGAACATCTTTTGAACACGATTGAGTGTTCGGCCAACTGAATCCATGAAGTTTCCAACGAATGGCACTGACATTGAGCGTTCGTGGTGGTGCCTATGAGTGGTATCTTTCATACTTATAACATCCCAGTCATCGAGGCCTATATGAAGAAACATAACACAAATTACAGTTACATTAACAATAAATACAAAAACAAGTCTTTCTGTAATCAAAAAACCACTTTGAGACCAGGCTTTTCAATGTCTTTATCAAGATTGTTCTCTAATTAGAAAAATATGTATGGTAATAAAGGGCCTGCAGAAAAGGTGTCTTAAAATAAAAAATTGGAGGTGGTCTTCAATCAGAGGTAGACTTGTAATGTTGGATTTTTACATGTTACATTAATATAAGGGTAAATAATTCTTTTTTTTTCATGGGAGCTCTTCTGAACTATTTTGAAAATGTTGACATGGCTGATTTTTTAATTCAAAATTTTGTTTATTTTTTCCTACACTACATTATTAAATAAAACAGGCAATAACAGTAACTTGCCAGTATTATATACAGTAGCACTTAAAGATGTACTGCCTGCCTTAAAAATCCAATTTAAATTTTGAATAGCTCATTTAAAAGGATCAAATAGGTTAATTAGCTTCCAAGAAAAGCAAGTTTTCATTTACAGAGATTTTACTACAAAAAAATCCTTAAATTTATTACCAGCTAAACATTATTACCAGAGATTTTTTTTTGCTCATTAAAATGTCACTAGTATCTTTACTTAAATATACCATTAAATAATGGAATTGAATATATTTTAGCACATGACAGACAATACATCTACCAAACTTTATTTGACAAAAACATGCAACATTTGCCTAAATTATAGTCATGACATCACATAACTATATATAGGCACATCATGACTATATATGGGCAACAGTTTTTTGTCAAAGAAAATGTGATAATCTAGGCAGAGCTTAAGGCCAAGGCCACTATGAACTTCACATAATTAGCTTTATCATTGAAGCAAATCCCTATGGAACACATACAGCTCCTTCGAGAACAATCCATAATGTTAAAGCTTACCATCAGCATGCTGACATTTAAACTAAGCCATTAAGATCACAAATCAAATCATGAACAGGGGCAGATTGACCTTTTTTCAATAGGTCGCGGAATGACACACCCCTGGGGTACAGTATGATACCTTTTTTTAGACGGGAAAAATGATGATCGAGATATTTATCACTGATCCATGGATGTAAATATATGTCTGAAATGTCCAGAAGTTATATTGTTTAATATCTATTTCTATACCTCATAAAAATCAATCTGGTAATAACAATATTCCATTGGTCAATTCTACCCAGTAAGTGGTGTGGTAGTTTCTCAGGCTATGATTTGAACCATACCCCTCAAGTAAATATTTGTGTAATATTTCCCTGCACGTGCCAAATTTATGCGTATATGGGGAAAAAAGTACTATCCAAAATTGACTACCGCACACTTGCCTATGTGAAATGCCTTCAAACTGTGTAGTTTGCCATCACACATCAAAATGGCTAATGTAGATAGACGGTTTGCTGTTTAATATTTATGGGTATAGTAAAATAAGCATGATTTGTATTTTGGTGAAGCGGTGAATTATACTTCCCTACTTGGATAATTGGGAATTCCTCCCTCTGTTTTGCATCGGGGAGGTAGTTCCAATCATCCAACACCTCAGGAAGTATAATTCACTACTTCATGTCAAACCATGTTGTATTAGTATCTAATGTCACAGAGCTGAAATGCAAGTGCTCCCTCGGCCCCAATCACCACTTATTTTTTCAATCGGCCCCGATCACCACTGTTTAGTTACTGGACCAGTAATAATTTGGATCATTAACCACCTGCAACATTGTACCAGTTAGTTCTCACCTGGTCCTTCAAAGGGTCTTGCATCCACCTTCAACTTGAGAACTGGATCAGATGCAGAGAGAAAAGCGGCATCCAAATCCCAATCCGACAACAGCGACAGATACACCTCTACACCCTTCTCATCACGTGACAGGTAGCTAATTGTAAACTCACTGTTAACAAAAATAAAACAAAATTCTAATATGTAATAATGATGGTGGAGTAATAAGTACAGGGAGTGCATCTTCCACCTTAAATCTAGATCTTAGGTTTTAATTCGAGGCTGTTTGTGTTTTAATGGACCCTTTCGCAATAATAAAAATAGCGTAAACGTACGTAAACTTGTATTTTTGTGGGACAACATGAGTTTTTGTAGGACACGCACATATTCCTGACCCCATTCTGATTGGTCAGCTATATTTGATTGACAATCTGGAAAGTTTTGATTGTCTGTCATAAATAAGTACCGTATTAATTAATTTAATTATCCAGTTTTGCTGAGATTATACCAAAGCCTATGATCGTGCCCATAGTAGAGTATGTATTCTTGTTTTAATGAAGAAATAATGTTTAATAACAGTGCATACTTTTGCAGCTGGAATGCTTGGCTCAATAGGTTGTGTAACATGGGAAAGTTGGTAATCTCTGGATCCACACTAAACGTCTTGTACTCTGGCTGGTACAGGCCCGCACATTTCTAGAAGGAAAAAAGAAAACATGATCATAGTTATGCGGCAAACATTTTGGAAACATGAAGTGGTAGAGTCATGTGAAAGATTGCTTGCCTACCAATTCAGGGTGTTGGGTTCAAATCCTATAATAGCTAGGGGTTTTTCTCATGGTGAGAAACAACTCCCTGTCCAGTATATCTACATTTGTGACGAAAAAATTAGACATGCCTCATGACTATGTACAGTATGGGCATACATAGTCAAAAATGTATGGTTTACCTCTACCACCCAGCCGTCCCTGACAGCAACAACCATAATAAGAGTAAGTTAATAAAATACATACATCAATCACAAAAAATAATATGAAATTGAAATTGTTAGCAACAATAATAAAAATAGAATAATAATAAAATAAATATATTACAATCATAAACAATATAAAATTGTCCACAATTACAATATACAAGATTCCTGTATTGTCAATGTCAGTTCATTTTAAGACACTCAAATTATGTGAAATTGAATTGAACTACAGGTATGGCACCTTTACATATGTCAGTTTTCAAACCCACACTACAACTAACATGGGTGTTGTCTATTATACATTAATACAATATAATCATTCATAATGCAAATATGATTGTGAAAAATTGCTACTTAATATTTTTGATCAGCTTCTGTAGTATTTACTTTTGGTTTATAACTCCCAATATTGATTACCAATTGATCCCTTGTGTGTTCTGCTTGCAGTAACACATTTCCTCTACTTAAATTTTATACTTGGTTTGATTACAACAACATTATAGTGTTAACATTATTTTATACTCAATATAAAATTTAAATTCACTATCTGGTAGGGTATGGTAGCTGGGTACAGTAGGAGAATAAACCATAACTCGCAGTATCATTGTGCTGAATTGCGTATGGATGTGGTCTGTGACTACCTAGCCACAGTAACGAGCAGCCTATTACTATAATACTATTAAGTACATGTTCACATCAATCCACGACAGGGGCTAAAAAGAACAATAAACATCGGGGTAACCCCCTACTCTTCTGAAAGGTGCAATGGTTCTTTAAAGTGCATACATTATTATGTGCTTGTTTTTATTTATTTATCTATTTTTATTTACTTTATTTAATTATTACATTTTTTTTCCTTTTTTTTCCCTTTTAGTTATTAGATTTTAAACTTTAGAATTACATTATTTTTCATTACTATTGTCTCTTTTTTTATGAATTTTATCTTTACTTGTAACTTTTGTTCTATTGTATGGTCGAACCTCTCCTGCATGAGAGTGTTCCTCTGCTATGAAAGAGAGAGCCAATAAATTATTCATTTATTCATACAAGCCAGATGGGTACGCTGGACCTCCATTTTAAGTCTGAGAACACTAGGTTACTAACCGAACCCTGGATGAGAGGTGGCTCAAACCACCACCGATATTAAGGCTATAGTTAGGGGTGTCTCTGCGTTACTGTTTGGCCACTCACTTGAATTCAAAGTAACTGTAATGTTTGTTTTAGGTATTCTGAAGTATAGCTCATTTAAAATCACAATAGAAATAATAGCACCAACATAACAACAACATTAAAATAATATTACAATATTTTAATACTGATATATAAAAATATCAAATACTATAACTAAAATAAAGCTCTCACTTTCCAAACATAAAAGTATTTCCCTGTTTGAACTCTGCATATATTATTCTCCTGATGACAAATGAACTCAATCAAGACACTCTCAACAAACGACAGTTCTTTTCACAATTATCTACTGTTTAATACGTGGTGTAATGCAAGCATTTAACATATTATTAATTCGCTATGCAAACCTTCTATCTTTCTTTATTAATATTTAAACAGGAATTCCCGCTCAGCATGGCTGATTTTCAGGAGAGTACTCTCACATAAAAACTTACAAAATTCACAGCATATATTTAAATAATATTATTATAAACCTCTCAAAATAGAAAAATGGTGAAGTGGGGAATGTAAGTACGCTGATTTACAAATCTACTGTGTACTGTTTTAAAACAAAATCCTACTTTTTCAATTAATATAATTCTGCAATATTTACACCACCTACATACATTGACGTTAATGGTAGAGTTGATTGAAATTCTAGTAGACTAAGTAAATTATGTACGTTGTAATTATATTATTTGAAGCCTGTACACTGTTTATTTACGGAAGATGATCTACATGCCTATTGAGTATACTCTAGATTAATGCTAAAAGAATCTAAAGGTACATTCTCACCTGTATCTGAATTTTTAGATTGGAAACTCTACCAAACGGATCAGAAAATCGAATCAGTTTGTTAGAATAGGGACGCTGGTGTTCAGCGGTTCAAAATTTTGGTTTGGATCCGATGTGAATGCAGCGTAACACTAACGGATAAGACAGGACATTTTTATACCTTGTTTTGCTTATTGCCAGATTGCCAGAGGGTGGGAAAAAAAATTAAAATAAAATTTTGTTTTCTTACTTAGCAAGTGGTTTTGCCATAAACATCAAGATAGAGGAGAAAATAAATATAAAATTTTATAGTTGAATGTAAAGAGTATAGTAATGAGATGGTTAAATTCTTTAAATTTATATAATAAAATATTCATATCTTATTTTTGGAGATTTCAATGCATTGGCAGACTTTATAAAAATAAAGAAAAAGTTTTATTTGTTTTTAAATTTAATGTTTTTTAGTGAAGGCAGGTACACTAAATGTCAAAAAATAAGATTTTATTTTTATTCGAAATCATCATTATTGGTGGGGCGGCAGGTTCACTGAACAAGCTATAAAAAAGTCTTGCCTACTACATTATGTAGTACTATGGTACTGTACTCTTTTGTCTTTTTTTAGGTGAATTCTACATCAATAGTCAAAATATATGTTTAATTTTATTCTTAATTAGCAGTACATGTATTCATTTTACATTTATGTCTAGGACTTGGCTCCTCCCACCCAAGTTGTAACAAATATGATAATATTCAGTGTAGTCTATATTTGCTTGCATATAGATTACATGCAAATTAGTAAATTCCTATTAGTTATTGTTGATTTTCTTGCTCTACTTTTCATAGTACAAAGAGAAGCTACCTTATACCATTAGGTATTTGTAGGATACCACAGTATTTAACTCTTTACTTTAATTATTTCTTATCTATCTATTCTTACATTTCATTTTTGCCATATTAATCTGTCTTATTAATATTCCATTTCTCTCTTTATATCAGAATTCATATCCATAGAAATTGTCTCTTATACACATCTTGGACTGTATAGTGGTAATCCTATTTACACATCGGTTGGTTTTGTTTTTTTGTTTTTTTCTATTTTATTATCGACTCAACTCTTTCTGATGGTATTATTCAATCATTTTTAATATTGGCAAGAAATTATCAAAATTGTTGTCAAAACAATTCATGTTTGTAATGAATAATTAAGAGCTGGAACAGAAATTCTCACATTTTATTGATTTATATCCATTACAGCACAATACGTTCATGCAAATTATGACTTAACAACTATAAAGTAGTATATGAATAATGCATTATAGTCTATTTTAATGTATTTAAAATAAAATTTTCCATATACCATTTAATATGCACATCCTAATTGAAGGGATAACTGTGCTTTATGCAAAATTCAAATAATTAACATTGACTAAATTACTGTAGTTCTCTGTAATCATGTAAGATGATTAAGTATGAAATACATAAATAGATGATTGAGACACCATAAAATTACACACCACTTCCATTTATCATAAATTTGGTCAACTTCTAAAAATCATATTTATGTAAAGTGACCCAGCTTGATCTAGAAGGTTTTCAGATATTCTGGAACCCTCATGAACTATTGTGACGCTTTATAATCTAAGACTCTTTACGAGGAACGGAAAGTGGAGAAACTTTTATAGTCCAAGAAAACAATTGTGTGCAGTTACAGGATTTGAACCCAGGAAACTGTTCTAAAATTAACTAAATATTTTCAAATACATAAACTAATAATTAATTATAAATAATTCAGCAAAACATCAGAAGAGAAAATACAAATTTTGTACAATGCCAGGGACATGTTCACTTGTTTAACCTCAGAATTTTTTCACCAATTTATTAGAAATGACCTTAAATAATAATGACTGACTAGAAATATTGGTAAATGTGCTACATAGGAAATGGGCGTGGCAACAAGTATGTTAAAAACTTTAATTAAATATATTCTAAAAACGATATTGTTTGCCCGATGTACTGTAGAGTAAATGAAAAAAGCAGGGCCTTACATTTTTCTATGCTAAAGACATATCAGTTTCTTACAATACTGCAATATATATCAAACTACATTGTTAACCATGAAAAACATCAATATCAATATAAATCAAAACTGAAATATATCCCCATAAAACCTGCATACTTACAAGTCCCTGGCTAGGATCTCACTTTTAGTCTAACCACTCCACACGTCACATCAACATGGTGCAATATTCTCATCTCCTTGCATTCTCGGTCATTATCAAAAAAGTGTACAAACACATAGTACCACATTAATATTTCTTACCTAGAACGTACCCATATGTTACCAGTAGCCTGATACTCCTGAATGTTGCGCACTTTTGTCTGGCAGACGACCAGCTTAACTATTGTCTCACACAAATTAAAGGTTTTCACCTAAATGATGATTTGCTAGCCTTCCCTTTCCAGCTTTCTTAAATGGATTTCTTTTCGATGAGTCATTGTCCATTGAGATTTTTCGTTGCACGGTTGAATTCCTAGCAGCAGTAAAGGTGTTTCGTGCATACAGTATACCTCGTTACCAGACTGCATATATCATTACCTTTATCATCAGCTTCGCCTATAAATCTCTCTCGAGCAATTTGATCATCTTCAAATTGCCAAGTTAATAATACACTATTTATTCATGTATACAGTTTAGATAATAAGTAAAGTGTACGCAACATCTTATACTGTAAATGATTTATAATTAAAATTTATTATAAACTGCCATTTTGAATGTTAGATG